TAGTCCTTTATACAGGAACAGGCTTGTTGTGATGACTTAGAGTCTCTTGCCTATGTTCTAATGTCTGCTTCTTACTCTCCTCTACCTCTCGTTTTCCTCCTCCTCTGCTTCCAGAATTCATTACACTTATTATAATTATTAAAGAATAATAAAGTAACTTACTTTTTAATAATCATTCCAACATTTTCTTTAAAAAGTTTATGAGTTAAAGGAATAGTTCTAGAAGAAAGAGATATGGTCCAATCTTTTAAAATAGTTTCTTAGGATGAAGATAAAAGTTGAAGAGACGAATGAGAATTAAAACAATTAGAAATGCCTTTAAGTCTTCTATTGATGGAAAATCTTGAAACACCAAATTGCTTTATAGTAGCTGATTTAGAAAGAATAAATCTAGCAGAATTAGGATAAGTACCAGATACTAAAACTGCCTAAACAGCTTGACTTAGCTTAGCCTCCTCTATATCAGAGAGGGCTTTACTACTGGTAATAGAAGAGGATTTAGAAAGCTTTCTAGCTATAAGAAGCAAAGAAGAATAAAGGATTTTGAAGGGAAGAGAAGATAATAATGAATGTAAAGAAGAAGAAAAAAACTTCTCTTCTTTTTTTTCTGTACTATGTCAGTTGCTATGGTGATCACTTAATACCGAAACATATAACCTCTAACATACATATGTTTTACAATTTTTTTTAACTATAAAAATTGTACTAATAAGTAATATAGTAGATTATAGTACTTTTTATATATATAGTTTTGATTTAATTATGATAATTTTAATTCTTAGTATTTTCTCTTAAAATTATAGAATATTATATAAAATATGTAAAGAATACTAGTACCAAATTTTTATATATAGTTATAATAGTAATTATTGTAATAAAAAATTCGTAAGTTATAACTATAAATTCTGTATTATAGAAAATAGTAAAATTGGACTTAAAATCGTATTCTTAATAAGTAGCTTAATACTTAACTATTAATTATATAAAAAAATATATAGTGACTACATATAATATAGTACTCATTCTAAAAATTTCAGCTACAAATAGTGTCTCCTTAAATTAATATTAAATGTGTTGTGTGTGGGAAAACTTTCTGTTCACTAAATCAGTGCTGATCATCAAAATTCTAACATTCCAACACTAATATCTCAGCTTCAACTTATTGTTTTTTGCTCAAATTTCGTATTTAAGTTATATCTACTGTAGGCTACCTGTATGCAAAATTTCAAGAAATTTACCTAAGAATTGAGGGGGGTATTGTACAACTGAGCGTTAACTGGTAACTGAGCACAAACCAGTGAAACACAGTAATGAATTGTAGTACTTTCTCAGAAACTGAGATCCGTTCCAAGTGTTTTTTCTTTTTTTTCTTTTTTCACTTATTTTATACCATTATAAGGTAGTACAAGAATTTAGACTTTTTCCCGATGACTTTGTCCACTGTTACATTCAGAACAACTACGTCAACATACATTATGTTCAAACTCAGAACCAACTTGCAGACATCCTTACAAAAGCACTCTACGTCCCTCAAATCAAGCACCTAATAGAACTTATAGGTCTTCAATGTTAACGACGGAATATTAGGGCTTGAAGGGGAGTATTCGACACACTGCGTTTTACGTCTCATTTACTAGTATAGCATGTATCTAGTATATAAGAGAGTGCATATATGCACATATACAACTAGTACCATTCCAAAACTCCCCGTTCCAACACAAGTTGTCCATCCTCGATGCTCAATTCCCCGATGCTCAATATGAATATAACGATACTAACTTGCTCGATCCGCGTATGGAAGATTTTGCAATACCAGAGTATGCTCTCCCACGAGCGTCTCTAGTTCCTATACCTCAGGCTGCACAGCACGGGCTAGAACCAATCGAGCACCTCATTATCATCTGTCGATCCCCTTTACTTGCTATTTCCGAGGAGAATTACGAATCTGAAGCCGCAAAGATTGCACGTTTGTTTGCTGAAGACAAGGGCCATTCCAAGAGTTTCCTTGCGAATCGTCCAGACGAGGACGTTCTGCGTTGCTGTGGCATAGTTCAGTATCCTGGTCAAGGATGTGACCTCCTCTTCAGGATACCTCCAGGCAGCAACCCGTATCCGTGTACCCTCTGTCAACTGTTGACAGACCCACAATCCAGCAATCCCATGCATCCACTCTCGGATCGCATCATATTTTCTATTCGCATTATTGCGGGCCTCCTTGTCATTGGGAAAAAGTCTAAAAGGTTATATTACATTATAATGGTGTGAAAAAAGTGAAAAAAGTAAAAAAAGTAATTTACATATTATCGGACCTCGATTTCTGATAAAGTAGTATAACTTTGTATAAGGTACTGTAAGGTTTATGAATGTAATAAAAGTACATAAGGGTAATACCCCTTTTAAACATATAAAATGCATAATATCGGACCTCCCTTTTTTGAAATGTATTGTAAGGATTACCAAGTTTTGAAAGGGTAATATATATTTGTAATGTTTTACAGACTATACATAGTTATTATTCCTTAATAATAATAATTTTCCCTTACATCCATTCATTATTAAAATAACAAAATCAATTATATTAAAATATTTGTACGATACATC